CCATCTCCATTCCAGAGGGTGGCACAATCCCTTAGAAAGGGGCATAACTTAGCTGAGGTCTTTGGCCTCCATGTGCCCGGGGTTTTGCTTTCATTCAGGCCTGGCGAGGCCAACACCGCAGGACCTGGCTGCCTCCGAGAAGCTTGTGTGTGGACCACACTGAGGACAGCCACTTCCTCCTCGCCTTCTCCAGCCTCCCGCGCTCCCAGCCCGCACCAGCGTCGGGAAGGCCCTCATCCTCTCTACCTGGCTCCTCCTGGCTGGGACTCTCCCCTCATGACTCCCAGACATCAACGTTGACCCAGACACAGACATTGTCAATAACTCACATTCCAGGCTGAACTGAAGCCAACCACTGACTCAGAGCCAGCCACTGAGCTCTGCCTCACTGGCGGTGGAGGGTCGGCCACTGACGTTTAATAGGAGGATGCACAGGCTTTGGACTTGTCTGCTGATGTGGAGTCAACTGCCCGCCCTTCCCACCCCCAGCTTTGGGGGGGCAGCCACAGCAAGTGTCACTGGTGGCTATTCGGAAGAGCCTGTGACTGGCGCGCCAGCACCTCCCGGGGAGTGACGAATGCATCTCAACGCTTGTGTAAAAGGAGGCAGTCTCCACTGGCTGTGACCGTTACTCTGCTTACACAACTTTCTCAGAAGACTCTGAGCTTCTGCCCAAGCCTCAGTGACATGCTGGGCGTGTGAATAATTGTAAAGGGCCAGTGAGCCGCAGGATGTACCGGCTGAGGAGCAACGCAATGGAGACCATTGTCCACAGACGGAGGAGGCCCATTTCTTAACTGTGTCCCATTTAATATGGGATCAATCAAGGTTCATTTCAAAGGAAAAACAAGAAAAAGATAGTTTGTAAGAGTTTCCAGGAGGAGGCAGCACAGCTGGCCACGCAGGGCAGGGCCACACAGGGAAGCACGGATCAGCCAGATCAGCCGGGAGGAAGGGGTGAGGGGAAAGTCCGCACAAAAGCTTTCATTGTGACGTCTGCAGGGAGGATGGCGAGGCAGGGTAAGTGGCTGGACAGGGTTAGCACTGGCTGGCTGGAAGAGTTGGCAGGCTCTGGGGCACAGGGCTGTCCTGATTTGTCTGGTGCCTGGCCCTGGGATGACTGGGGCAGGGAACTACTGGTTTGGCCAGATTGGGGGTGTGCGAGGGGGGTGAGGGGAGGCTCTGGATTGGTTGGTTTGCATATGAAAGCCACGCTCACAGGGGAGCCCTTTGCTACCTCTGCTGCCCTGGGAGCGGCAGGTTGTCCCTGGTCCTGGAGCCCCAAATGCCAGAGCATCAAGAAAATAAGAGCATCAAAATACCAACGGCATATCTCACAGGCCTAGAACGAACTCTCCAAAAATTCATCTGGAATAAAAAAAGACCCCGAATAGCTGCAGCAATCCTGAGAAAGAACAAAGTAGGTGGGATCTCAATACCAGATATCAAACTGTATTACAAAGCCGCTGTTCTCAAAACTGCCTGGTACTGGCACAAGAATAGACATATAGATCAATGGAATAGAACAGAGAGCCCAGAAATCGACCCGAACCAATATGCTCAATTAATGTTTGACAAAGGAGGCAAGAACATACAATGGAGCCAAGATAGTCTCTTCAATAAATGGTGTTGGGAAAATTGGACAGATACATGCAAGAAAATGAAACTAGACCACCAACTTACACCATACACAAAAATAAACTCAAAATGGATAAAGGACTTAAATGTACGACGGGAAACCATAAAAATACTAGAAGAATCCAAAGGCAACAAAATCTCAGATATATGCCGAAGCAATTTCTTCACCGATACAGCTCCTAGGGCATTGGAAACTAAAGAGAAAATAAACAAATGGGACTACATCAAAATAAAAAGCTTCTGCACAGCAAAAGAAACCATCAACAAAACAACAAGAAAGCCCACTGCATGGGAGAACATATTTGCCAATGTTATCACCGATAAGGGTTTAATCTCCAACATTTATAGGGAACTCATACAACTTAACAAAAGGAAGATAAACAATCCAATCAAAAATGGGCAAAGGACCTAAATAGACACTTTTCAAAAGAGGACATTCAGAAAGCCAAGAGACATATGAAAACATGCTCAAAGTCACTAATCATCGGAGAGATGCAAATCAAAACAACAATGAGGTACCATCTCTCACCTGTCAGAATGGCTATCATCAACAAATCAACAAACAACAATTGCAGGAGAGGATGTGGAGAAAAAGGAACACTTGTGCACTGCTGGTGGGAATGCAGACTGGTGCAGCCACTATGGAAGACAGTATGGAGTTTCCTCAAAAAACTAAAAATGGAACTCCCATTTGACACCACTTCTAGGAATATATCCCAAGAAAACAGAAACACCAATCAGAAAGGATATATGCACCCCTGTGTTCATAGCAGCACAATTCACCATAGCTAAGATCTGGAAACAGCCTAAGTGCCCATCAGCAGATGAATGGATTAGAAAACTGTGGTACATCCACACGATGGAATACTATGCTGCTGTAAAAAAGAAGGAACTCTTACCATTTGCAATGGCATGGATGGAACTGGAGAGCATTATGCTAAGTGAAATAAGCCAGTCAATGAAGGAAAAATACCACATGATCTCACTCACTCATGGATAATAAAGACCATTATAAACTTATGAACAAAAATGATACAGAGGCAGAGCAACCTCGAACAGACTGTCAAACTACAGCGGGAAGGCCGGGGAGGGTTGGGGGCAGGAGGGGAGGTTAAGAGATCAACCGAAGGGAAAAAAAAAAAAAAGAAAATAAGAGCATGGACTGAAGGGTCCCGGGTTCGATTCCTGTCAAGGGTTCCCAGAGCGGTCGTTGGTCTGGGACCACATTTCAAGCTAACTCCTGGAGGCTTCGTGACAGTTCTGAGTGTGGGGATAGCCACCGTTTAATGCTTTGCTGCATTCCAACAACGGGCATAGGGTTCAGGAGAGGATGGGGTCTGGGCTTCCCTGAGGGAGGGATGGCTAGTGAAGCATGTGGCTGCCACTTCTGAGACAGGAGGGAGGAGAGACCTGAGCTGCAGCTCTGTTAAGAGGCTCTTACTGCAAAGAGCCTGGCCTGGGTCCGGGCTTAATCCCACGCTTCTGTGTGTGACTTGGTCATTGAATGCGAGACAATTACTTCCGATTCCCAAGGCTTCTGAGGCTCCACGTCCACTCACAGAGTGTGTGGCTTGAGCCTGAAATTGAACATGCCTGCCCCAAACACCTGCAGCTGAGCCTAGGATTACGATGCCTTTAGATTTCTATCTGGCCTTTTGATTTCTAAGTGGGCCACCATTTCAAGTTCATCCTTCTCCCCCCACTCCCACCCTCCAAACACACACCCACAGCACCCACCCAAGGCCCTCTGGCCGGTGCACTCACTTTATCAGACTGTCTTAGAAGAAGTATGTTCCGCTGGCAGCCCAAGGCTCTCTGACCCCACCTGAGGAGGAGTTCTGAGCCATTCTTAACGGGTTGGTCCAGGGAGACACCCCTGCAGAAGTCTCAGGACGTCAGACACAGGGCAGATAACGGTCCAGACCCTGTAGCTTTCACGATCCTGGGAAACAAAACCAAAACCCAGATGAGAGATTAGCAGGAGGAGGGTGTATGAACTGGTGCTGGTGTGTCCACCACTGTTTCCTGGCACAGAGTTAGGCGAGTTGCTCCCCCCGACTCGGGCCTGGCCAGGGGAAGAACAAACATCTGTCTTCCAAGTTGGGGGACAGTGGGGCCTGCACGAAGGACTTCATGGAGATCACTGGGGATGGTCTGGAACAGAATAGACCCCTCCTGGGGTTTTCTGCCCAGAAATAGGGTTTCTGCAGTCCCGGAGGGTCGTTCTTTTGGGCACTCGCTCTCTTAGCTCCCACAGCCCTCTGAGTCACTCTAAAGAGCCCAGTGGCCAGACCGTGGTCCTGCCGGCTCGGCTCCTACAACTCTAACAGGCTCAGGCCACAGGCGATATGATTCGGTTACGTTTTGAGTGGGATGTCAGCTCACAGGCAGCCCAGCACTGGCCTGTCCCTGGGGGTCAGTACTGCATGCAGCCTGGAGTCCCCTAGGGTGAGCGGCCACACATTATGAGACCCTCAAGGTAAGAGAGCCCCACAGGGGCTTTGCTTCTCAGTTCTCTCACGTTCTGGGCCCAGGAAGTCCTGAGTCCTCCGAGGATGGCTTCCACCTGCAGGGTGAGCCCCCATCATCACCAGTGCCTCTGCCTTCTGCAATGTGAGCTTCCGCAGGAGAGGGTGCCAGGAGCCGTTCTGTGTGAGTGCCCCGGGCCTGTGAGGCTGGAAGCCTGGAAGACTGGGTGCACCGAGCACACACTGGCCCTGAGGTGGATGGGCCCAGGGGGGGCAGGGAACCGAGCCCCCGGCACCTTGGGAGGAGCTCTAGCTCACCGCCCTGCTCGGATGTTTGCAGAGGTGCCGGGGGGAGGCCTGGCTGCAGGAAACAGCTGCCAGCAGGGAGCTCCATCTGAGAGTTTCCCGCCCCCCTAATCTTACCACTCAGGTCAAGCCAGATGGCTGCGGTGAGTAGCACAGTAAGACTAATGCACAGGCTTGGGCTCCCAGCCAGTGTTCCCTGGACTGACCAGGTAATCCCTTCCCTGTTACCCCCTCGGGGGAGCGAGAAGGTGGGGGGGGGGGGGCTCCTTTGCTTTATCGCCTTGCAGCCTGCCAGCTGGTGTGATAGTGACACCCAGTGGACACATACCGCAGCTCTCTTCTCCCTAGAGACAGAAATTGTCCTGCCCTCTGGGCACGGGAGAGTCCAGCTAGACTCGTCTTCCCAGGACTGGGCGTTGAGTCCTGTCCATGGTACTGACGCCCGAGGCCGGGAGGAAAGACCAGCTGGACCGAGGGGGATGGGAGGGCCGGAGAGCTGAGAGCTGCTGCTTCAGGAGCCGCCGGCCACGGCTCACACAGCTGCCAATCACTCGGGATTTACTAACTCTCCGTATCTTGTTTCTTCAGGGAAGTAAACAGGAAGAGAATGTCATAAGAAGGCCGAGGAGTTCAGGGCAAGGACTCCTGAGGAACTGGATGACTCTCTGTCCCTATAAATCGTTAGAAAGAAGATGGGCTGCCTGCCATTGGATGGCAATTGGGGGCAGCGTGACCCTGAGGACCACTCACCCTATTTGCAGGGTCCAGGGCACAAGTACCAACAGAGGCCTATGTCCCGTGTCTTCTTACTGAAAAGTGACAAATCAAGCTAATAAACTGAATGCACACGTCCTACCTCCTGCCCTGGTGAGTGCACCTACCTAAGCACCCGGTAGCCGCAGGTTTGCATTTAGAATTCTCTGACTCCCTTGGCTCAGCCTGACCCCTGCTTTCCTCACTCTTGGCTCTGTCCCACATCGGGAGAGCCCTGCAAGTGGACACCTACTCACACATCCAAGCTCTGCCCTCCCTCCCCCATGAGCAGCCCCCCTCGGCCACTCCACGGCTGGGCCTGGGCAGCACGCCTGGGGAAGAGGCCTGCACCTGCTGTGCCAGTGGCCATTGGGCAGGAAGGCCAGGATCCTGGAATGACTGTGTGGTCCGGAAGGGGGCTGTGGCTCCACACTGGCATGCCTTCCTGGCCCCACAGACTCTTTGCCCCATGGGGAGAGGGCATACTCAGAGGAGGGGCAGAGTGGGCCCTCCAGCCAGGCCTAAGAGTGCTCAGGGGCAGGGCAGCTCAGCCACTCACTTTCTTCTCTACCAACAAGTGATCAGCAGGTGAGACTTGGAAATGGTGCCCTCTGTTCTCCTAAGTCTTCCCCCTCATCCTGGTCTCCATTGCTCCATCAGACCCCACCAGGAGACAGAGGGCACAATTGTATTAGACCATGTACACAGGTGGAGATGGACTATAAGGCAACCACCATGGGTATGTACTCACCCAGGGGTAGGAACAGCGGACGAAGAGAGGGAAGAGGTTCTGGAACCCAGGAGGAGAGAGTCCTGTTGAGAAGGATGATTTGAGAAATACAGGGACCTTTGTTTGAAGGATACAACCTATCAAGGAGCCTTACAGGGGGGGAGCCAGGTGAGTTAGATCATGGCCCACTCTCCATCCTCCCTCTAATTTCCTACTGGTGCTCTCCATGAGCCAAACTCAACCAAAGCCAGGGGGCATAGGCTGTTGATGTGGCTCAATTAGGTCTCCCAGGACTAAACACGGGATGAAGAAAGCTGAAAGGTGGACCTGGAAAGACAGACAATATCTGGGGCAGACACTAAATAGTGACTCAGATAGAAGTGATCAGAAACAGGAGATGAAAGGTGGGCATTTGTGAACAGTTTGCTCCAGTGATCAATTAAAACTGAAGTCTTGATAAGAATGTGCATGCTCAGTCCTGTGCTATGTGGTGATTGGAAATGACTGGCACGCAGCTCACCCAGACAATGCTGCCCCAGTGTCCCAGCTCCAAGGGGTCCAGAGTCTGTCAGCTAAGTGACAGACTGAGATTAGGACCCAGGTCCACCGCCCAGCCACGGCTTCTCCCACATCCCGGCCCAGCGCTTACAAATGAAGTCTACAAACAGGAGAGGGAGAGAGAATAGGCTGGGGAAATGGAGCCAGGCTTCCTGCATGTTGGGTGTGAAGGAACAGTGGACATCTGCATGGAAGTAGCCAGCCAGCAGCTGGACATGCTGGACTCCAGCCCAGAGAAAAGGACTGCTGACCTGCTCTCTGTGCTTGAGCGCCGGAGCCAGGGTGGGAGCGGTCTGCACCTCCTCTCCACAGAAGCCGGCTTAGCAACCAGATGTCCACACGAAGGCCAGTCAGCACGTCACCATTGCCTCCCATTTCCTTATCGACTTTCTTCCTTTTCCACCCACTAGCTCAACTCCCTGGCCACAGCCTCACAGACCCTATGCCTTCCTCCTCCCATCAGCCCATTTCAAGGCTACGGCCCTGGACTTAGTTCATCTAAAACCTAACGACGAGCAGTATATGCCTACAAGGACCAGATTCAAACTGAAACATCGGGTGGACCACACTAATACAAAAATTAGAAGAAAATTAAAGGCATGATGCAAAATGGCTGCGATGTTGGATACTAAGATGGAAACCCTCCATGGTTGCTCCTGAAATGTCATCTGTTCAGAAGGCGAGAAGTGGGTTTTCCTGAGTCTCTGATAGGGAGCTGCCCTCCCTGTCTGTGGCTTCGCTCAGCCCCATCAGCAGATGGCGCCAGGCTCAACTTGAGCAGCGTTGATCTGAATGGGGATGTGCCAGGCTTCTTGTCATTCCCAGCAGGCTTCCTAATTAACGTGCTGCTGCTGGCCCTGCTTTGAGTGCAGTGCTGCCTGCACTATTTTTAGGGGCTGGCACTAGGAGCACACCTGTCCCTCAGCCGGTCTGTCTCCGTGTGTGACTTGAATGTTGGCACCATGGATCACCCAGCAAAGGAAGGCTTCACCAAGAGACCCTCACCTCACTTCTTTAGGGCGCTTTGGTGCCACATCCTCCTGCCACCTCCTCTGCCCCAGAGTTTCCAGATCAGCTCCTAGCCTTCACAAATCCGCCAACCAATATCATGACCCTAAGAAGCCAACCTCAGCAAAGAATTGGGAGATTGGCCCAAAGACACTAGAAGCCAGATAAGCCATGAGGCCTTGGAGCCCCGCAGGCAAGAGGACTATGTGACCCTCGGTGATAGTGAATTACAAAAACAAATCCCAGCGTGGGCCAATAGTCCAGTCCTATTCCGTAGTCATTCATATGCAGTATCCTGGTCCTGGCCAATCATCTGGCAAACGGGTGCCACCATCACAAAGGTAACTGAGTGGGAATGTATTAGAGCAGAAAAGAATTTTCAAGATCACTTCATCCAACCCCCTCATTTGATAGGCGAGGACCTTGCGATCCAGAAAAAATAAAATGACTTATAACTTACTCAGCATCACACAGGAGGTCAGAGGCTAAACGAGCTGGGATCGAGATTTCCTAACACCCAGTTTATCATGTCAACAAAATGTACTATGACCACTGGGTACATGAAGTTTAAGTCCCAACTGAGAGTCAAGAAAATCATCCTCATCTGCTGGACGAGGAGGAAATCATTACGTTATTGAAGAGGTTCCCGGGGGCCGAAAAGAGTGCCTCCTACTGACACAGGAGCCATCTTCACAGACTCATTTATAAACAAGGGAAGATTCAATTTGGTGTTTTCCATCTTCTTTTCGTTCAAGAACCTCACATTTAGACCGAAAAAGAGGGGCTGAGGGTGCAACAGAGACGGGAGGTTTCAATGGAGACAATGACCACCACTGCTACATAAGATTGGGCTTCGATTAAAAATAGAAGAGTGGGCACATAGAGGTTAAAGTGAGTGCAATTTTCAAAGGAGATGAAGAATCTCATGTTTTATTTATTTGTAATTTTTATTTATGGATTTGAGAGAGCGAGAGAGAGAGACATTGATTTGTTGTTCCACTTATTTATGCATTCATTGGTTGATTCTCGTACGTGCCCAGACCAGGGATCAAACCCACAACCTTGGCATATGGGGACAATGCTCTAACCAGCTGAGCTACCCAGCCAGGGCCAAGAACCTTGTATTTTAAAGAAATTAGTCTCCATGGACTACTTCCATTTCTTCACTTCCCATTCATTTCTTAACCCACTATAATCCGCTTCTACCTTCCCTCTGGAAAAGGCCACCAATGACCTCCAAATTCCCAAATCTACCCATTGTGCTCAGTCTTCATCCTAACTGGCCTCCACAGCATTTGGCATAACTGACCATGACACTCTCTTCTCTCTTAGCTTCCACGAAACCATTTTTTTCCTGGTTCTTTTCTATTTCCTCTCAGTCTCACTGTTTTGGTGTTCTCCCCTTCCCCCCACCCCCGCCCCGACTCCTCCCTAAATGACTTCAGTTCCATACTACCCACATACTGACAACTCCTAAATGGGCATCTCTGTGTGTGACTTGAACGTTGGCACCATGAGCTCTAGTATTTTGTGTGTGTGTGTGTGTATATTTTTTCACTATAGATCAGATTCCACAAACTCATACTTCTCTTCCCCCTGAACCAACATGTACACAGCCACCCAATTCAAAGGCCTATCATCTCTGTCCTCGTCCATTGAGCTTTTCATCCAGAGATAAATCCTGCCAATCATCTCTCAGAAATCTCTTAAATGTACATTCCTCTTATGGGGGAGGATTAATTCCTATTTGCCTCTTTATTCTCATTATCTTCATTCAGACTCACACACATTCTTAGCTTTGTTTTTTATTGTGGTAAAATATACACCGCTTCACATCTACCATTTTATTCCTTTTTGAGTGTACCGTTCAGTGGCGTTAAGTAGGCTCACGTTGTTGTGCTATCCGTCTCCGGCAGTAGCCTATCATCCCACACTGAAACTCTGTACCCATTACACAGAAGCTCCCTGTTCTCCCCTCCACCCCAGCCCCTGGGAACACCTATTCTGCTTTGTTTCTCTGATAATTTGAGTATTGATGTCAGTTTCCCCTTTACCGTGACTTCTTAGGTGGTCAGGAACACATCTTTCACCCTTGGCACTGTAGCTGGTTGGGTACCCAATAAATGTATGTTCAAGGAATAAATAAAATACTCACCCATCTACCACAGGGTTAAAATTCAGCCTTTTCTGATATAAAAGGACACATTAGGTGTTCCCTAGAAGGCTTCTTAAATACAGGACTCTGAAATATACTTTAGGTGCCCTCCACATACCGTATGGGACGTCTCGGAATGAAAAGCTGTCATCCCAACATCTGGCTATGATTAGTAGCTCTTTAAGTGTCAAATGTAATCAGGGTAATTACTCAAGTTGTCATCTTGATAGTCTGAGGCAATGAAACCCAAAGCAGGTCCTTTCCCCCAGGAGGGCGGGGAGCAGAATTCAGACCTGGAAGCACTTGAACGGAAGGTCTTCTTGAAGGGAAACCGTGATGCCACTCCCGGGAGGAGCGTGCAGAGTGCAGTGCGGCCTGTGGGAATTCCTGAGGGCTCTTTCACACTGAAGAAATCCATGTGGACAAAGCAGCTTCTTCCCATCTTCCCAGTCACCAGCCTGAAGCTGTATTTACCCCTTGAGTGCCGGGGAGTGCGATTGCACTCCTCCTGTCTTTCGCCAAAAGTGCCGGGAGCGCTATCAAAGCTTCGAAATGGCGTCCAGTTCTAAGTCTGCTTTTATTAGTGATGATGATATTGCTAAATATGTCAATGTAGTAAAGGTTTCCTTAAGTTTTTGAATATGTAAC